CCGCTTTTATTCGTCACATAGCCTACGCTAACCATTGGGTTTACACCGTATCCGTGGCCGGCCATGCAATATCGAGCATGCTGTTTAGTACTGGCGGAACATTTGGCGTCTTCGCCCTGTATGGAACACTATTCGGGTTCTTTTACGGTATGCTGCTGGGAGCGTTGTCAAACGTTGTCATAGATCTCTTCGGAATTAAAAAGTTCAACAACAGCTTTGGTTACTTCCTGTTTGCCGAGGGAATTGGAAATCTAATTGGAGCTCCCATTGCAGGTATGGGTTCAAAAATTAAGTTACGACATTCTTAGTGATAATCTTACCGAATTTTATATTTCAGAATGATTTTGTTATCTGGTCATTAGATATCTCTACGTGATTGAATTTGTTTTGCATGCGTGAAGATTACTGACGAAGGATTTGTACATGGTTCATTTCTACATGCAAGTCGCTCTACCACTAGGTTTTCCTAATTTTATGAATCTGGCAATACATAATTGATGTTATGCATACTTTACTGTAAATATAGGAAATAATTCCTTCTCATGATTGATTAACCCTTTCACTGCTGAATACTTTTTTACATGTTTGCCCCTGTGTGCTGAATACTTTTTGGCAACGAAGCAAATTTCATGTATATGCGTTTAAAAAAATCACATCAAATAAACCGCTTAATATATCAGCCTAATTTTATAATTAATTATACTTGAGGTGTCCTTCTTTCTAGATATTTCTGCAAAAAAAAGTGTTCTGAATTTTTTTTTGTGGGGGGGGGGGGTTTGTCATTATAATATATGACTTTTTTCAAACAACTAGTCAACAACCAAATTTTGCTGTGTGAATTATTGAAATTTATTCCAATTTAAAAGTTTGTTCCACAGTAATATTTGAAGATCTCACTCTTGAATTATTAGAAGATTTATTATAATAAAATACAGACTATAGTGCCGCAAACAAAGTGCAAAACTTACTACAGTGTACACTCAGTACAGTATAATTATTATGCTTGCTCCTCCACCGCCCGTATGCTACGCTTCAAAAAATCTAAAAATTCTCAGAAGATGGAGCGACAGTGTCATACGATCGATTGTGTACTGTATGCGTTTGCATTGGAACGCTACCGGCCCCCTGTTGTGACCATGGCAACAACCCGGCGTCAGCCGGGTCCCGCATATCAAGTCATGCACGATGTCCCGGCCGCGTCTATTTTTTCCGTACCACAAATGCGCGAAGGGTTCCTCTGATTGGCTGCTTTGATTTGCTCTGACGGAACAACCCGTCGCGTGTGGAGGGAGGTCACGTGATAACGTTGACGATGACGTTCAAAAAGTTCAACCTAACGGTAAGATTCACTCCAACACCGCCACCACTAACCCTCACACTAAATATGTATGTGTCGCCGCGCTATATATAGGCAGTGTTATTCACAAAAATTAATCTATGGTGTGGGGACAGATATCATGATGCAAAAATCCTAACCCTAACCCTAACCCTAACCCTAACCCTAACACTATCACTAACCATTAAAATTAAAAATTAAAAATTAATAATTAAAAATTAACCCTAACCCTAACCCTAACCCTAACCCTGACCCTAACCCTAATCCTAACACTATCCTAACACTAGTGCTGCCACGTTGCGGTCACCTCCCTCCACACGCGACGGGTTGTTCCGTCAGAGCAAATCAAAGCAGCCAATCAGAGGAACCCTTCGCGCATTTGTGGTACGGAAAAAATAGACGCGTCCCGGCCACGGCCGGGACCCGCAGTGAAAGGGTTTATCGATCACGCACTTAATCAACTGATCGGCTGGTCGAATATTTGATTAATGATTAGATGGATTGATTGGGCGATTAATAGATCGATTGGGCAATTAATAGATCGATTGATCGATTTCCGTTGATTTAGGTGCAATTCATGATTACACCAGGAGTTACGTCATATCGTTCCTGTGCGCTGGTTCGGCCAGTCTGCTGAGTTCTGCTCTTCTCGTCCTGCTGTATTTCCTCGACAAAAGAAAAAAACCCGCACCGACCGACGTTGACGGAAAGCAGCGCCACTCTTTAGCAGATCATCAGAGAGCTGAGGAACAGTATCACCCTCGCACGATGTCTACGCTAACAGCTGAGACTGAGGTAGCTGACGCTCATAACATCCAGGTTCCTTGTAACCTTGTCACGCGTAAATAGTACTATTTATTGATGTGGGCAGTGATGTTGCACTGAAAATAATATAAATAGCATAATGTGGCCGTAATTCAATATACATATACCTATACTACTGTTTACGCGGAATATGAACTGAATACAACTCGCGTATCACGCATATGTACACCATGTGTGAAAGAACGACGTGAAAGAAATATTTACTACAGAATATTGCGAAAAACATTGTCTATATATGTAAGTTAGATAACTTAGAACCGTGCTATCACTCATTCATGAATCTGCACAATACGTGCACTTGTATATTATGTCACTCGCCTGCCTGAAAGGAATCATCCAACGAGCGTTGTAAGGCATCGAGAAAACTGATAGAATCAAATTAAGTTAAAAAATGTTGTCTCATGATGTAGTAACCGCGACTTTCTTATTGTCTCTTCAGGTTACAGTCCTATAGATATTCATGGTGCGTACTGCCAGCGATCGAGTCTGCATGCCTTCTACGTGGCGCAAGGAAATCTTGTATGTTATAAGTACAGTGTATAATCATGTATATAGTCCGACAATAATCGCAGCATATTAATTTAACAGATTCAAAAATCAATTAGGCCCTACATATGAATGTTATTGCTCTAGCAGCTGTAGCAGCTGTCAACATATTAGCTGAGTGCGTACAAAACCCAAGGCGCGTACCTTTCCTAGACTCAACGCAACAGGGCACTAGCTCATGAGGTTCTATCGACAAGATGGTGGGTGGGCCGTACTCTAATCGGCCTTTCTCGTGCATTTCGGGGGATTCCTGGGAAAGTAGTTATCGTTTGGCGTCTATTTCGTATATATATACAGCTTATATGAACGCGCGCCGTTTATAATATGGTTTATTACCTCCGCCAAGGGGTTGGCAGGAGGTTATGTTTTCATCGGCGTGTGTTTGTTGGTTTGTGGGTTTGTGTACAGCCTAACTGAAAAAGTTATGGACGGATTGTCATAAAATTTTCAGGATAGGTCAGAAATGGGCTAACTTAGAATTCATTAGAATTTGGTGGTGATCCGGATTCAATTAATTAATTAATTAATTAATTAATAAAATTTCCAGGATAGGTCAGAATTGGGGTAAATTAGAATTGATTACATTTTGGTGGTGATCCGAATCCAATTAATTAATAAAATTTTCAGGATAGGTCAGAAATGGGGTAACTTAGAATTGATTACAGTTTGGTGGCGAACCGGATCCAATTAATTAATTAATTAAGAATTATTAATAAAAATTTTCACGAGTGAACAGAATTCGG